TATGAAATAAAAATTCATACTTTGTAAGCAAAACAATTTGAAGGCATTTCTAAGGGGTTTGCCCACACATTTTTTTTTATGTGATGACTGATTCTTTTTACTTCGTAACGTAAAAAAAGTTGAAAGTGTAGATACTGTATGATGAATGAATTTTTGTTCTTTGTAATTGCCACAAATTATGTGTTGGAGCCCATATTCAAAATCTCAAAAGCTTCAAACTTTGAGATATGAACAGCTGGAGAGGAAAGTCATACACATCACTTTCTGCAAGAGAAGCCAGAGCCATAATTACAGTTATTGTCTCCATTATGTGCTGTAAATGGTTTCCTGCTTATAAAATGACTTCTAACTTTTAATTTTAAACCCACGGGTATATATATATATATAAATGATGTATGTAACAGCTTATCCTTGTACAGAACATGTATTAACAGCTCACTTTAAAAACGAACTTCAGGGGCGCCTGGGTGACGCAGTCGGTTAAGCGTCCGACTTCAGCCAGGTCACGATCTCGCGGTCCGTGAGTTCGAGTCCCGCGTCAGGCTCTGGGCTGATGGCTCAGAGCCTGGAGCCTGTTTCCGATTCTGTGTCTCCCTCTCTCTCTGCCCCTCCCCCGTTCATGCTCTGTCTCTCTCTGTCCCAAAAATAAATAAACGTTGAAAAAAAAAATTAAAAAAAAACAAACAAACAAAAAAAAACGAACTTCAGCTCAGTTAATAGCCGGCAAGATGTCCTGCACTAATGGATAAGAAAGCTCACCCTAGGTATAAGTAGGAGTATAAGCAAGGAGAGTGAATCTTCAGGATTCTAGAGCAATGCGTCATAGGATAGCTATGTCTTGGGTGCCTAATGGTCCTAAAGAACAGTGGTGTTTGTTCCACCTCAAACTCATGCCCATTGGTGACTCTTCAGTGGTTGGCTGTTCATTCCCCTTGATTTGAAACATAACATAAACTTCTAGGGAACAGGGTTCATTTCTTTTGCATGGTCTATACCACAATGATGTATCATAGTGCACAATTAAAAGAAAGGACAAAACCCACTACTATAGCATCAGCATGACTCCTTGAAGGGAACTTCAAGCTTTAATCACACTTTGACTACTGTTGTGCTCTCCGTCCCATGGAAGAATGACAGAAAACAAACAAAAACAACCAAGCAAAACCAAAATCTTGGCTACACAGTCCCTGTGGAGATTCAGTGTAAATGTTATTGTAAGAAGATGCCTCCCTTATCAGAAATGTGGTAACTTGTTCGCTGCCCTTTCAGCTGCTTCACTAAAAGCTTTTTGAAAAATATGGGAGTAAACAGTGTGTGTCAAAATAATGCCATACAAATGTAATAGGGAAGGCTGACATATAAATACTTTATTTGTGGAATTAATTAAATTAACAGAAAATTATATATTTTTCAGTTGCTGCTCATTTAGAAAAACCTGAGTCATGAATATCAAAAGATTACAACTAAACTCTTAATGTCTATTTGTAGGTAGGCGCAGGAAACCAGACTGTGATTTAATTTTCAAACTATTGTTTTCATATATAAATTGTCCCTTTAAATTTTGTTAAAATCAATATATACAAAATGGTTCTTCCAGTGCTGGAAAAGTATGGAAGCTTCAAATATTATGAAACATCAAACTCCAGAAAAGTTTGAGGAGCTATGTATTATTTAAAACTATCCACTCAGCAAACTATGGATTGGGTCAGTGACATAATCTCTTTCACTAAAAATATTTTACTGTAGTCTGTTGATTATTGTTTTAATGGAAAATAATGGGAAAACAATATTCAAAATACCTTCATAACCAACTTTGCTGGAGTGTCCCACTGTGTATTACATGTCAATTGAATTTGGGCCAAATTTAAAAAAAATACTGTTTTCAGCAAACCTTTATTTATGTTCCATTGTTGCAGGACTGCCAGTAAAGACCATGTTTGTTGGTTTAAATAGAAGCAGAAGTTGTGTCATCTGTGAAGGTGCTGGCTGAAGCTTGTGTCTTGTTCAGATTGCCAGATTATCTGAATGTCCATGAAACTGAGTATGTCTTACGGATAAGCAATAATGGCTTTATTAAATGAAGGAGTTCTCAGATGAAAGTTATGATTATATCTCACCAAGGAAAGTGTGACCATAACTTTAATTTATGATTTGGCTTCATAGCTATTTCTCATTTATAGAAATCAGTGTGTTGTGTGTTCTCTACCTGTGATAGCTAATACACACAGCTATAGTTAGCATTTCTCAGTTACAATTTTTGCACTCACAGAGAAGTGACAGAGTGGAAAAAAAACCCAAACGTGTACACCCACATGTTAAAATCAAGAGAATCACTGACTAATCCCATATCCAGCGGATCACACATTCATCAACCTGATCACTCAGCTGCCAATGCCTGTCCCATAAGATTATGAAGCAGAGATTCTTGGGTAGTTACCCTAGAAAGGCATTTGAAAGGATTGTGAATGGCCTCAATTCCTCAAACTGCTTTGTATAATCCTGGATTCTAGTTGAAATCTTAATTTGCTAGGGACAATTTTGAGTTGTTTTGTCTTGAAAGCCTCTCAAGGATATTTAAAAGAGTCTTCCAGAATAGTTTCATTTGTAGCAAGCCCAAAGACAAAAGCAGTAACAGCATTAGGATCATGGATGAAATTCAAGGCTATCAAAGTGGATTATAAACTATAACATCCTATAAAAAATGAAAAGCAAATAATTTTGAAAGATATGTACATTGGTTTAAAGGCTAGTTCCAATCAAACCATGTTCTAACCTCAACCTGCAAAAGAGAAAAATAACAGAATCCTACCAACACAAGTTGCTAATTAATCACATGGGAAATACATGAAGATGCACCTGGTCCCATGAAGAAGGTAATTCTAATAGATCCCCATCAAAAAGTCCAAACAAACAAAGAAAAAAACAAAATTCACTTGTTTCAGGCTTTGGTTAGAATGGATCTTTTGAACACTGTGAGACATTAAAGCAAGATGACATTCATTTAATAAATATTTTTCGAACACTTGCTGTATGTCAAGCTCTGAAGATTCAAAATGAATTAAGACCTAATCCTTGACCTCAAGGAGTCTGTAGCCTAGTGAGAAAGGCACAAATATAAACCAAATATTTTTACTGGAGCATAGAGGAGGGAGAAACATGAACAAGTCTCACTAATTTTCTGGATTTCACTAATGAGAAATGAAATGCATTTTTGGCTTGAGTAAGTGGCAGATAGAGATGTCACTTGCTGAGGAAGAATATAAGTGAGAGGGAAAGACCATGGGTTCAATTCTAGATAAAGTTCTGGAAGCTGTCTTAAAAGGAGGCCAGGAGTTCAAAAAGAGAGGTGGGTTGGATGGGGACTTAAGCATTACTAGCATGAAGGGGGTGATCGAAAGAATGGAAATGGATGATCTTTCCTAGTGAGTACGAGAAGGGGTAGAGGATAGAACTCTTTCATAAGTTAAGATTTAGGACAGTAATTCTCAACCTTGGCTGCACATTGGAATAAACTGGGAACTTTAGAAAATATTGATGCCTGGGTCTCATTCCAAGAGATCTGATTTAACTGGTCTGGGACAGGGTCTGGGCATTGGGATTTTCCAGTACCCAGTGATTCTAATATGCAGCCAGGGTTGAGAACGACTGATTTATGAGATGGTACAGGAAGAGACAGGAAGATGGCAGAGAAACAGAAAGATGGAATTAGGGATGCTAAAGGAGGGGTTTTCCAGAAACAGGAACTTATCAACAGGGTTGAAAATTACAGAAAGGCTAATAATGTAGAGACTAAAATGTTTCTGATACTAATGACTGATGAGATTAGGAAGGCCCATTCCAGGAGAGTGGGCGAGGTCAGAGCCAGATGCTACAGACTCATATACTCAGGTAGAGAAGAAATCAATACAATGCAATGAATACTGAATATGCTTTCAAGCAGCTTGGCTGTGAAGGGAAGAGAGAGGCCATAGCTACTGAGATAAGCAGGTTGGAGAAAGGCTTTTGTTTTTTAACAATTTTTAAAGATCTCATTTATCTAGGCTATGGGACTGCGTGCGCTAATGGAGAAGAGTGGAGAAAGAGGAGAGAGAGAGACACAGAGTGAGAAAGAAGAGAGGAATGAATACTTGATAGAACAAGATCCTGGGGTAGATCAGAGCTATGCAAACACAGGTAAAACCTTACACTTTTGTCCCTTTTTTTGGCCTAAGAAATGTTAATATCTAGAGGTTTTCTTTTGTGACTAGTGTTTTCAAAATGCAATTTTAAAGTAAATTCTCAATAAGCCTAAATATTTTGAATCAAAAGAAGTTCATGTACCTCTCATTTATCTCAAATTTAAGTAAAAACGTCAGTTCTATTCAGTAAGCACAAAACAATGTGATATTATTTACAGGAGACACATGACACACTAAATGACACAAAACATGACCACTGCTGCTTTTAGACTTGATAAAATAATTTAAATAATTTTAATACTACAGCTTTGCCAAATGCAATTCAAGTAAGTCTCTGATTTTTGAAGCTGAATCATAAATTACATATTGTACCCTGTCAAAATTGCCATTTCATGGCATTTGCATCAAACCCATTATCTTGTGTTCTGTTGCCTAGTTACCAGAATTCTGAAGTTTAATGCATTTTAGATGGATATTTAAATTTCAGAGTTTCAGCTACACAGTCTACAGAAAGAGAAACAGTTGGACACATCTGCTGACTTAAATTTCCAAAGGAAACTTGTTTGTGTATAAGGGCTCAGACTTGCTAAGTTTTGGAGAAGGGTGCATTGGTTTTTCAAGGAAGGGCATCTCATATGGAGACACTAAATTCATACTTGTTTTCTGGTTTTATTTTTGTTTTTACTACAGGCATGGAGAAAAGAAAATCTTTCCTTTTTCTATATATTTAAGGCCCTAAACCTATGGTCTAAGTCTTGCTTCATTAGTACAATTCTGCATGTAACACACACATACATGAATCTTAATAGTACCATGACTTACCTGCTCCCATGTGAACACGTGTTGATTGAAATAATACTGAATTTGTTCATTTGCAATGTTAATGCACAGCTGCTCAAAGGAATTTTTTTTGAAGTTTTCAAAGCCAAATATATCCAGAATGCCAATGCTCAGCTCATCACCGTTCCCACTGGAAAATTAAAGAGGCATTATTGAGTCCTTACTTATTTTCTTAAGAGGGAATGGAAAGCAGGGTGTCTCAGAGTATGCTTTTGTGATTTAGCTAAGAAACTCCTACCAAGACACAGAGTGTAAATTTTCTTAATTGAAAAAGTTTCCCTCCATAAAACATAAAGTAGGTAGCATCAATTTTAATATGTAAAAGATACAAGATTTTCCTTGTACTACAGAAACCTGTCCTATACTTTTTCCTATGGGTTTGTGGGTACAAGATCACAGCCCCGAGTGAGTCATGAATCATACGGAAAACCTGGCCAGCACTCAGAAGACCACAAAAATGTATTCAATAAAAATCATACCATAAAAGCAAAAATTCTGTGTAAGGATGTCTTTAGTCTTTCACTTTAGGACAATTAAAACATCTTGCTAGGGGCGCCTGGGTGGCTCAGTCGGTTAAGCGTCTGACTTCGGCTCAGGTCACGATCTCGCGGTCCGTGAGTTCAAGCCCCGCGTCGGGCTCTGGGCTGATGGCTCAGAGCCTGGAGCCTGCTTCCGATTCTGTGTTTCCCTCTCTCTCTGCCCCTCCCCCGTTCATGCTGTGTCTCTCTCTGTCTCAAAAATAAATAAACGTTAAAAAAAAAAATTAAAAAAAAAAACATCTTGCTAAAAACACTTCACCTCTTTTAAAGAATCATTATTTACTTTTGAGTTATTCATTCATAAGTGTTTAATAGAGAATAAATGGTAACTTGGGGAAAGACAAAAATGTATTTGAGTTTATTTTATAATCAACTACTTTAAAATGCAATTAAATATTATTTTATTTTATTATTTTATTTTATTTTATTATTTTTTAATATATGAAATTTGTCAAATTGGTTTCCATGCAACACCCAGTGCTCATCCCAAAA